GGGTGGTGAAAATTTAATAGTTTCTGCTTTCAAGCATCCAAGAGGAACAGTTACCAGAACAGCATCTCCAAGATACTCACAGCCATTTGATGTACTAACTCTGACTTTATGCTTGCTGTTATGCATGGCAGATACATCAGAGGCATAAGATACCTCAGAAACTATTTTGTTTAAGTGAATGTCAAGTCCTTCTGCAAGCGACTCAACAACTCGGCTATAACCACCTTTAATCATAGCATGTGGCCCTCCAAATCCGCCATAAAACTCATCTTGATTCCAATGAGGAAGCGAAACTTCCTTGAGGACAGCAGCGCAACCATATTCTGTGTGAGCAAAATGCCAATTCATAACTCTTCGCTCCAAAGGATTCAAAAAATCATCTTTCCAGCTTTCATCTTGCGTAAAGGGACCACGGATGCCTGTTTTTGAGCTTGAATTGGCAAGCTCAATTTTGTCAATGTTCACCTTGTCATGTGGCATTCTCAACCGTTGAAGGCCATATTCTAGACCATCCTCAAGAGACATTTTATTTGCTCTTTCCTTGCCTATTTCCTCAACAAGCAAATCCACATCGTCAATTAGACTGTTGAACTCTGCTTGTAGAGCATCATCTAATTCTGCAGGAACCTTTTTCCCTGTTACAGTATCATAAAGAGGACAGAATCCATGCAACACGCTCAACTCCAGACCTAATTGGTTACAGACCAATACCGAAGGATCTGGCATTCTTTCAGATGGCACATCAGCCTCAATGCCAGTAATTATGCTAGCCCCAAGATCCACAGGAACTGAAAGAGACGACCGGTCTGTAAATACACGACCACCTACTCTACTCCTTGCCTCAAGAACGGTTACAGAAAAACCCTGGCGCTGTAAATGACGTGCTGCAGTTAATCCCGCAGGACCAGCTCCAATAACTATAACTTTCTTCTCATCTTTAACCTCACATGGAACACAGTCCCTTCCTATCATTTGATTACTATTTGCAGAGGAAAGTGTGCTAGACAAAGCAGGCTTAGCTACTGAAAAAGTTTCAGGATGCTTTTCAACATTAGATGCAGTACCATCCTGTAAAGCATTTATGCTCACAGAATGTTTGCAATCATCAATAATGCTTGCTTCACATGTTTTGCTGGTAGATTCCAACATTTCCGAGGTCGCACATCCTACCAAGTCCCTTTCATCATTTTGGAAAGCACATTTCTTACCCTCACTAGTTGATTCAACGGCTTTGACCTGACCAAGGATAAAAGCAACTCCCTCTTCAGAATCTGCAACAGAAGCCATAGAACTTTCTTCAAGCTTTCTCCCCTGGAGGAGATCATAGTCTTGATTAGTCAAAGATCCCGCCTTCCCCTTCACAGATGAAATTCCAGCATTTATATAACCCTGTAAAAAAACACCATTTCACATGCGGTCTATAAGAAACAGCACTCATTCTCTTTTCAATAATGCATACAAATTAAAAGCAAACTTAAGAAAAAAAAAATCAAAAACGAAGAATTAATAGAAGACAGGAGAACCACACAAATAAAGCAACAGCACAGACTTACTCTCTGATCAAGAAACTTATAGACTTCTCTGATAAGGGAAGCTGAAGGCAATTCATTCTCAGAAGGGCCACCGGTAACACCACACTCAGTGACAGGTAAGATTCGGCTGACATTTTTACTCCACAGGCCTAAGATAGAATTCCTGTATCAATACAGATATCAGTTCTGGTACATCAAAAAAAGCGGAGTTAAGATCTTCAAGAGAACGAATGAAACACAAAACAATAATATTTAGAATATCAAAACTGTTCCAAGTAAAACTGGTGAACACAAAATGGACAAAAACCAACTTAAAAATTCTTTAATTTCATTGCAAACATACAGTACAGTAAGTATTCAAGGTTTCCAACAAATGAAGAAGCCGAAAATGGGATTGACATCTTAAGGTACACCCTTCTTATAAGATCGTAAGAAAAATACATTCTATACAAGATAAGAAACACTGAAACCACGCATTTGAATACGTAACAGCCACAAAAAGGAAACTAACCTGCAAACTAGGTACTCCTGATGGCTACCTTTGCGCTTCAAGACCTCTTTCAGTATAATCTTCTCAATTGGACTTACTGACTGGGCTTTAAGTCCAGCTGTCACCGCAGCTGCTCTACCAATTTCAATGTCCTTGGAAATAGATGGAACAAAATCACACTTGTCACTTCCCTTAAAGGACTTGTCACTTTGACAATCAAGAAAGCCTTGCTCATTCTCCCATTTCATGTCTCCTTCATACACCATGTTTCCAAGCTTGCGCTTTTTAGCAATACGCTCTGGGCGTTGCAAGGTGGATAGCTTCCTAGAATTAGGTAATGAAATTGCATCCCCTCGGAAATTTTCATCTTCGCAGGGAATTATAGAAACCGGGGAAGCTTGAGCAGTTCCATCTTCAAGAGTATTAACTTGAATACCACCACCATTAGAAGCATTATGGTGTGAAGAATACTTGCACTTATGACAGAGAGTAACATGGGTAGTAGACTCAAAGGAATGATCCTCAAAATTAACTTGGATACCACAATCACACATAACTAAATTCTTCTCTCGGTAATAACCGGACTCTGAAGCTGGCTCTCCCAGGTGTATGTGCTGATCAGGAGCAATAACTGCAACTTCTTTTCTATCAGTAGGACAATAAACTTCGCCATGGACATCTGGCATGGGAACAGACACCCTGGATAGCTCCAGGGCCTTCTCCGACATTGGTCGCTCGGATTCCTCCTCTGTAATTTGATGAAAGACATCTGCTTCCTTCTCCCTGGATACTGTTTCTACTTTTTCATGACCGGGAGAGGCTGCCTCATCTTTACCATAAAACTTATGCAGGAGGGTTCCAGTTTCTGAAGCACACTTTTGAATAGAATTAGAAGCACCATTTTCGGAGATGCAATCCACTCTTTTATTATTCGTGCCAGAATCTACTGTTGAATCAACCATCTTCTTGACATATAAGCTATTCAAACCTTCCCTAAGTAATACACTCTGCACCTTGTTTGTGTTGCCTTCCTCAATTGGTTTCAAATTAGAATTTGCTACAGTATCAATAGGAGGAACACCCTCGTGGTTCCTAATTCTAGGAGTTCCTGATCCAACACCTTTCTTGTTGCCCTTCAATCTCTTCCTAAAACTGGCTAAGGTGTCATCCATATCTTCAGAATTTTTGTCCAAAGCACTCAGCTTCTTTTCCACAACCTGTTTCTGCCTCTGTTTACCAGTACTTTCTGTCTCAACCTTATCCTTCTTGGAACTTTTATTCTTCATAATCTCTAAGAGAGATCCAATAGGTTCATCATCATCAGCATCATCGTCAAACTGAAAAACCTTAGATCCTCTCTTGGAACCAGATTTCCTCCCCGTACCATCCATATCTATCTTCTTATTCCTTACACCGAATATCAACCTCCAATGTACCACTATCTAACAAAACTCCCAAATTCCAACGCAAACTTAACAAAACTTTTACCTAAGCTTCTCACCTCAAAAATCAAGTCTGCTCTAATCAAGAATTTGACCTTGGTAGGGGTTCTGAGATATCGCCCTTTCAAATTTACCACGGGAAGTTCACAAAATCAAATTTTTAGGGTTTTCTAGCAGAGTGAGCTCGAAACCTAGAACCAGAGTAAAACGAAAACGAAATAAGCAACGGCATTATGGCAATCACATAAATGGAAGCAGAGAGGAATACTGATGCAAAACGCTAGAATTAGTGGATAGCGAAAGAGAGCTAGTGGTGAAGAGAGATAAGAGGTTCAAAACTGGATTTAGGGTTTACAAGACCTCATTCGCAAGGAGATTGGTGATACAAAAATTCGAAATTGAAATTAACCTGCAGTAGCCGAAGAGCTTTTATCTTCGTCGAGATCTCAGAAGCAACGATTCATCAAATGTTCAAAAAACCCAAACGAACATGGTGGTGAAGCTAAAAATTTTTATCAGGAAAAAAAAAAAAAAATGGTGAAGCCGAAATCAGGAAATTAACGATTAAGAGACGTTCGCTTCAAAACGCTGCGTATGGTATTTGTTTATTAATTGGAGGAAATATAGTTGGAAAATATTGTTTTGGTTTAGTATTTTAGTACTACTGTTTAGATCAATGAAAAGATAAATGAATGATTTACAACTAAAATTATATTACCAAAAATCATATCTAGTTTATGAAAAAGCTAAAACTAAAATAAATGTTAAAAGTAAAATTTTGATACATTTAAATTTGTTTGATTATAGATTTCAAATTATTGGGTCATAATCAAAATCTTAAACTTAATATATTTTAAAAATTAATTCACATGCTCAAGAATAAAAATTTGATTTTTTTTTTTGTCATCCGAAATTAATTAGAGCTCAAAAGAGCCATTCATGAGAAATACTGTTTACATATATGATATGAAGCAGTTCTGTACGAACTTTTCGTGCCAGATTATCCGCTTTTAGCAGTGTTCTAAAATATGCCCTAGGCGGCCGTATATACGGTAGTTATACGCTATACGGCAGATCACTGTACTATTTTTAAGCTATGCGTTTAACAAATACGGTTGGGTTTAATACGGCCACTTATACGGCGCTATACGGCTCAATACGGCCATTATACGGTGTTATACGGTTAAATACGGTCATTATACGGCGTTATACGTCTCAATACGGCACTTGCTGCTTATCTAAATACGGTTGTCATTATGTTATCATTTTTTTGAGAGTTGGAGTTTAACGTGAGACTCTTTTTATTTTTTTTGACAATTATTTTTTATGATATTATATATATTTATAATATATTTATAATATATTTATATTATATATATATATACTCCGCATATACAGTTAGGCGCTATACGGTGATCCACCGTCCGACTACCGCCTAGCGTATTTTAGAACATTGGCTTTTACATTAGCATTACGAGAAATTAAAGATTAAAAAGAAAAAGGTTGAGAATAAAAATTTGATTGTTACGTCGTATATCTATCATAAAAAAAGGGAGAAAAGAATCGTTGATAATAAATTCAAATATAAATTATTATTTTGTTTGTCTTAATATATTATGCCACGATCATCTACTTTGATCATTATATGTGACCAATCTTTCAGTTTCAATTCTAATTAACAAGCAATCACGTAAATGATTTGCCACATGACTTTTCATTAACGCAATGTAATAAGTAATAACATTAATGCAATTACGTTTCACTCTTCCATTATAAAAAGAAGTAACAAAAATATTTCTTCCTAATAATTTTGCTTGCCCAAAAAAAAAAAAATGAATTGCATCAAACAATTTTTCTTGGCAATTTGCTTTTCTCTAGCCATAACATGTCAAGATCATGTCTTAGTCGGCGGCACCACCACGAGAGACATCATAGTCCCGAAGATTTCTGAGTGGCAAGTCACGGTTGTTAACGGTTTGACTACTGGTGAAACTCTTTTTATCCATTGTAAATCTAAGGAAGATGATCTAGGTGAAATTAGTCTGAATTTTAGAGATAGATTTTCGTGGAATTTCGGAGAAAATATGCTTCACTCAACTTTGTTTTGGTGCTATATGAGCAAAGATGATGGTTATATGAATGTAAAGGTATTTTGGGATGATGTTATTCTGTTCCATAGATGCGGTTGGAAGAATTGCATTTGGACCGCAAAATCTGATGGCCTTTATCTTTGGAATTTAGCGAACGGTGAAGATGTATTGTCGGAAAAATGGGAAGTTGGATGGTGAAAACATATTTTTTGCTTTTTTGGTAATCCTTTATTAAATGTATCTTGTTGATTTTGGCAGAATAAGCAAAAACTGAAGTAATAAAAAACAAATTTGTCATAAATTTCTCTTTTATTTGGTGTATTTTTTCGTCAATGATAGATTTTTGTTTTAGTTATTTATATACAAGTCAGTTAATTACTAGATTAATTTTATGAAATAATTACAAAATCCAAGACTAGATAAATGATCGTTGACAAAAAAATATGATCAATAAAACCTCATTAAAATATTTACCAAGTTGTTATATAATTTTCCTACAAATATTTTTCTACGAATATTTTAGTAGAAACTCGGTCAAATATTTTTTACCACTTTCCTACTACAACTTTCTACAAAGTTGTATTGACGGAGAGTCATTTTACAGTTTTGATTATTTGTTATAGATTTAATTATTATTCTAAGATATTTTTGTGGTCAAGTAATCTATTATTTTAAGATTTCATTAAATTGATAATTTTGTTTTCTTTAGGTAAGTAGTTTATGAAGAGACAAATTTGAATACAATATGTTTTGGAAAAGATTATTGCAAATAAAGAGCATTAAATTTTGTTAAATTATTAATTTATTAAGATATTTCTATACTTTCATATTTTTTGAAAACCCTATTTAGAAATAATAAATTTTTGATGAACTAAATTTTGTTAAATTATTAATTATTAATTTATGAAGATATTTCTTTACTTTCATATTTTTTGAAAACTCTATTTAGAAATAATAAATTTTTGATATATTCAAATTTAGAGTTTAGAAGGAATTGATGCTCCTATCCTTAATGGTGATGATGAACTCGAAAACGATATTGCTGTACTTTTAGAAGCGGTTACACGTAGAAAAAAAAAACAATTATCGCAGCTAATTTTTTTCATAATTTTCGGGTGTCATTTGAGAAGACAACAACATAAGCTTTCAATGTAGTAAGAAGATTAATATGAGCTCTAACAAAAATAAAAATTCAAAATAAGCAAAAACACACTAAATTATACTTCACTAAATTTTTTAGATATATATATATTTACAGTTTATATACTTTTAATTTATGATATTGATAGACCATATGTTTATATAGGGTTTTCAGAAACATTATTAACTTATTATTTTATCAAGTTGTGTCATTTTTACACTGATCCAATTCAGGATCAGATGAACTTATTAATTTATCGAATATTAATTTACCGAGGTTTTGTGTATATTGTTTACTAAAACCATTAACTGTTCATTGTTAACCACGTCTACCATACAACAAATATTATCTGTACTATCCAATTCACTATATGCGTATCCACGATAATTTTTTATGTTTTACAGCGTTACTAAATACTATCCAATATCCACTTACATTATAATTTGGTAAAAATATTTCTTATTTTTCTTTATCAACTATTTTTTTAATAAAAAAACTTAAATGTAAATTGAGAATAATAACTTTTATTGATTCTTTTATTTATCATGAGTCGAATATATTATTTTTTCTTAAGTACATCTTCATATTGAAGATACAATTTTAGAATACAAAGAATGCAGTCGAAACTACTACAACGATAAATTTATTTGTGATTTTGCTAAAGAGAACAAAGTGGACTTCTTTCATAAAGACCTTAGTACATACGCTTTGGTACCACTGTGTCTACATTTCAAGTTATTTATGGATACATCAGGTTTAAAGCTACAGTTTGCAAAAATAAAGTTCAGCTACAAGTTGATGTATATCAATCGTAACATAATGAAAATAAATATGAAGTTGGATAATAACGGATTTTATGGCCAATTAGCGAATATGACTATTTTTCGGAAAGCATCGCCAATCTCCTTTATGCTATATTTTTCTTAGTGTATACATCTACGTATATAATAATTGTGTTATATTAATTCTGTAAATGACTCTGTAATAACTCTATTAAATCAATGAAAATATGTTTTGCCAAAAAAAAGTAAAATAATAAAAAGTTTATATTTAACCAATCACTAAAGAAATAAATATTTCATAAATCATAATTACAAAAAGTAACCTATTTAAACAAGCTATCATGTGGAAGCCCCCTTGGTCCATTGGTTGACCAAATGTTGATTAATGCTTCTACACCAAGAGGTCTGGGGTTCGAGTCCCAGATATTGCGATTTATTAACAAATTTGCAGATTATTGGGGGCAAGTATGCAAGAGATCTCCAGCGATGTACAATTATAGCCGTTCGCTAGGATTTTACGCAGAGAAGGAAGTGTCGCCAGGTCGTGGATCATTGAAGGTATTCATCAAGATCACGAAGAAGGAAGTGTAGTTTGTCGTGGATCTAGTAAGGGTCGGAAAGAATTGTCAGTTGTATAATCGTCTATGTAACTGTTCTCATAATTTGTAATTGATAATAAATCATGCCAAAAAAAAAAAAAGTTATCATATGATCCAAATTTCAATAAAGTACCGGTCCAAATTTTAACTTCATTACCGGTCCAACCACTATTACCGTAACTAGACCGCTTTTTCTTTTTACACCGGTCAGAGACTCAGAGAGTACATTCGGACAAAAAAACTAATTGATCTCATCTTCAATCAAATTGGATCAAATTCTCAGGGGCTCTCCAAGCTCAATATTTTTTCTCAAATGCTCCTCTTCTAAAAAGAAATTTCTTTTTGATTTATTTTAAATCGAAATATGAGACAAAGACTTTGTAACCCTTAAAAACTTCATCTATTTACGACCCAACCAGTCTAATCGGATCATCAATTATCCGAACTCACACTTATTGGGTCATATCCAATTAAAATCTTTTTTTTTTTCTTTAGGGTTCGTTCAACCTTTGAAAGAAATCATTTGACACTTAACAGTTTTTTTTTTTTCTACTTCTTCGACGTCAAACTTGGTATAACTACAGACAACTACGTCTTTGTGTAAGTTAAAATCAAGTTTTCATTTTGGGTTTTGTATAAAAACGATTGAAATTAGGGATACCATAATTAATCGTTAGTCGATTTGTTTGTGTAGAATCTGAAGTGATGGAATGTAAGTGCTAATAGAATCGTTTGAATGGACGTGTTAATCTGATCGATAAAATAGAAGTGATAATCTAATCGATTGATTTTGTTTGTACGTTTGTGCAAGAGAGTAGTGGCTCGAACAAAAAACCCAACTATATCGAATCCTATAGAACCAGAGAAAATCATGGAATAAGAATATGGCATAAGTGGATTATGAAGCAACAAATTCAATTTCTCGCAGGGATTCAACAGTATAATCTATACACTTTAGACAACTAATAGAACTTGGTATAACTATATTTTTTTGTAACTTATATAGAAATTTGGCATAACTACGTCAGTTTGTTAAACTTAGTACAACTTGGTTAATATAGTTATTTGAAATTTTTGTATAACTAGGTACAACTTGGTACGTAGTTGTTCTACCCAGATTTTGTTCTCTCTCATCCTTTTTCTCTTTCTATAGTAGAAAATAAAAAAATTGAAAATTTTCAAAATTTTAAAACCGTAAAAAACGTGGGTCAAACTGCTCTCGGTCAAACTACGCCGTCATAAATTGCAAGTGGGCGCCGTAAAACAAGTACATCTGCCAGGTGGCACTGCAAAAATGAACATAGTTATTCTTAGTTTTCAAGTTGTACTCGCATATACACAGTTGTACTTTTTGAGATTTTTTGAATAATTAGTTATACTTGGATTGAAACTAAATTTTTTTAGTTATACCCATGATTTTAGTTATTTGAGGTACATTTCCTATGTTTTCATGCAAAAATATCTGTCAAAACGTTATTTTTGTGTGTTTTGCAATGCAATGGGGATAACAATAACAAAGTCATCTTAAAAGTATAAGGTCTTTCTTATACAAAAATGAGTTTAATGAAAACTATCTTATAAATTTTGTTAAACTAATGTTATTTAAGAAGATTTGTTAAATTATTGGTTAAATTTCTAAAGTGCATATGAGGATTTTATAAATGGTCTAACTAATTTATTAAACAATTTGTACAAAAATGAGTTTAATGGAAACTATCCTATAAATTTTGTTTAACTAATGTTATTTAAGAAGATTTGTTAAACATTGGTTAAATTTCTAAAGTGCATATGAAGATTTTATAAATTATCTAACTAATTTATTAAATTACATATAAAGATTTGTTAAATTGGTCGTAGTTGTACCATTAAGAAACCAAGTTTTATCAAGTTATACAAATATAGAGTATCAAACATTAAATACAGACACAAATACACAAATACGGACTGATATGGAATGTTATGATTGGTCGGAACAGTCAATTTTCATTGTTCAAAATAATAGCTTTTTATTGGTCAAATTATTTTTGTTATTTATTATTAAATTTGATTTTATAAGGGTAAAATAGAGTTTTTGTATTTTATTAAGAGTAGGAGAGTATGTGAGATTTTTGGAAAGTAAATAGATTGACAAGTGAGGAGTAAGGAGCTCCTCAGATTTGGACCCAATCAAATTCATCTTCGATACAGATCCCAAATTTCTAGGGCTCCAAGTCCTTTGATTTCTTCGACTGTAATCGCAATTCCCCACTACGTCAAGCTGGACAGACACCGAAGGGATCGCCATGACAGTGGCGGCTACGAAGATTCCTACCATAACCACCGAACCACCCATCCTAGAGGTCCGTCTCGTCCCTCTGATTCACGCTTCGAAGAGGATGATGATGATTTTAACCGCCATCGTCGTCGTCGTGGAAGCAGCCCTAGCAATTATCGAGTTGGAATTGGGGGCGGAGGAGGAGGTGGTGGTCGACGTTGGGAAGGTGACAGTCCTACGGATTTTGATGGTCCCAGAGATGGAGGTTTCCGGCAGATGAATGGTCCTCCAGATAGAGTAGATTTTCAGCCGATGCGTCCTCGGAATGGTGGAAGTTTTCGGCCTATGGGTTTTGCCTACGATGACGGTTTTCGTCCGATGGGTCCTAACGGTGGTGTAGGAGGAGAAGGGACGCGGTCAATTGTTGGAGCTGGTGGTGGCAGAGGAGGATTTCGGTCTAACGGACCCGCGAAGTTTCAGCCTTCAGAGAGTCCAGACGGGAGGAGATTTATCGGTAAAGCAATGGAGTCTGATTATTCTGTAAGGCCGACTACACCGCCGGTCCAACAGCCTCTTTCTGGTCAGAAACGAGGGTATCCTAGCTCAGATCATGGCAGCTATACTGGAGCTGGTAAGCATGAGTTCACTTGTAGTCTTTTAAGGTCCCGAGGATCTCATGTTTTTGTGGGAATCAATGATTAGAATATTGTAAGTTAGTGTAGTTGTTAACTTGTTATGGTACTTTATTGTTGAAGGTTTTTCGTGCGATCCTTTCGATTTTCCCTTGTATGTGATAATCAAAACTATATCCCATCCTCATGTGTATCCTTAGCTGGAAAAATTGATTTGCAGATGTTTCTGATCATAGCAGTACTGTCAAGCTTTTTGTTGGCTCCGTACCAAGGACAGCTATAGAAGAAGAAGTGAGTTAATCTGGGATATTTTATTTAATTTGTTATCTATGTGCTCATTGCTGGGATATTTTACACCAGGAACACCGTCGACTCTTATTCGTACCTAGATAGTTCTTAGTGAGATTTTACCTTTTCTAATTTATCTGTTGGTTTTTATATTCCAGGTTCGTCCCTTTTTTGAAAAGCATGGAAATGTTCTGGAGGTTGCTTTGATCAAGGACAAGAGAACTGGACAGCAGCAAGGTATGTCAATCTCCATTTTACTAGGAAATAGTCGTGATTTATACTTTTTAAATTTCAGGTCTCCCTGAAAAGGCTGATGGGAAGCAACCCCAGTCTCATCATTGGCCTCCATTTGTTTGCAACAATTTTCGGGCTTATTGCTTATGCTTGCCAGCGTCTTATCTGTGTTCAATTCTGTCACAGAAGAAGGCTACCTGTGTAGTTTGCTAAGAAAGGGTTTATGTACTTACATTGGACAAATAGATTTCGCTACTTGTGTGTATTCTAGAAGTTTAGTTGTGTTTGAAAAGTGTAGCAGACTTTATTGAGGGTGTTTTAGAGTTGGAGTTAATGTACAGAAAACTGAAAAGATGTTTTGTTGTTGCCTTTATAGTGGGTATTGGTTAAAAGAACATCGCTATTTTCATCTCCTATTGAAATTCATTTTTCTTTACTCTTCCTTTAGATGGATTGAAAATGTTGTGTATGGTCTTGACTTGATGAATGTATTTTTTGAGTTGGTAGTTTGATAAGGACATAAGGTTCAAAAGATGGTTTCCTAATTTGCCACCCCTGCTGGTCAAGATTTGGCCCTTTTTTATTGATTATATCATGTTGGAGGTTTGGCGTCTTCTTTTTTTCATATCAATTTATGAATGTCTGTCTATTGGTTAATGATGGAATTCCTTTTACCTTTTTGGATGTGTGATGCCGGAATGAATGCTTTTCTCCTTTTCTTTTGTTGATGACATGAGGAACTATGATGACTGTATTTCTTACCACTCTCTTTGAATGGCCTGAGATTTCAGTTTTCTCTATGGTATTCCCTCTCTATTTCTTGGATGGCCTGCGATGTGATATACCCACCTCTTGTCATAGATGAATGAATGTTTATGTTTAGTAGCTCTTATGTTTGTATTCTGTATGTTCCCACCTCTCTATTTCTTGGATGGCTTGTGATGTGATATACCATCTCTCGTCATAGATGAATGAATGTTTTGTTGAGTAGCTCTTATGTTTGTATGGTAACCCTTGCACTGGTGATCGATATTTATGTGGAAAATGTTTGATGATAGTTTATTTTGTATACTCCCTTTTCGCCAACCAAGCCTTTGTGCTTGCAACTGTTTTAGATCTGTCTAATTGAGTTTCCTTTGGTACTATTCCATTTATATCTGTCTTTATTTTGTCAGTGTAAAGAATCACTAGACGATGAATGTTGTGTTTGTATGTGCATAGTTATTTATTAATTCTTGACTTTCCAAGAAGTAATTGTATCTATTACTGCTACACCTTTGTGGATGGCATAACAATTGCATTTGATTGTGGTGACATAAAACTTTTGATCGCAGTTTGAATGTACTAGATTCCATACAATTCTTTCTTCAGTCTTGTGAAATGTTATTATGTTAGGTGGTGCAAACATATGGAAGGAAGCTGATTGTTTTAATTTCTTAGAATAGTTTCTGAGGTTAATACAACAATGTTGACTTCACTCTCTTTCCCTTGATCGATCAGCATCAGGCAGGAACCTAATTATGTAATACATGAAGCAAGTGTATTCTTTTCTGAATTGCAATTATTTCCAATGAGTTATCTTGCCCATAACTGTAGTTCTTTAATTGAAGTCTTCAAATGCTTGATGTATGGTGACGAAAATGTGATATATGTTTTGGTTTTAAGTTTTTAACTATCTGCTACTTATCAATGATTGAGATTCTTACATACTGAATCCTTTACCTTGGACCTGTAGTTATATTTTTATGTTAGTAACTATCTGCTATTTTATGTTTGCACAAATTCAGCCACCCTTTGTCTGAAAGGCCCTCTTGTAGATATGTTATCTGCAGATACCGACTGTTTTCTATTTTTTAATATTTTTTTTACTATATGCTCCATTTGAAGACATTAATTTATTCTCTCCAACAACTTTACTTCAATGATTTAAGCGGAGGCTGTCAGGACATGTCTTGTGATTTTCCTACTGAACTTATGTGTTTTGAGTAATGCCATTTATTTCTTCAAAATTGTGGTTGCGTAGCTTGTACATTTGTAATGCAACTTTTTAAAAGTACATATTGATGTTGATTAAAAGAAAAGTTGAACCTTGAAACAGACAGCTTAAGTATCAGTCTTTAATGCAGGCTGTTGTTTTGTAAAGTATGCAACTTCTAAAGATGCGGATAGAGCCATTAGAGCACTGCACAATCAGATCACTCTTCCTGGGGTAATTACCCTGAGGCTTTCTCTTATCAAGAACAGAAAAATACAGGTTGTTTCACATTATAATTTGTTGATTCCCAGGGAACTGGTCCTGTTCAAGTTCGATATGCTGATGGGGAGAGAGAACGCATAGGTAATCTACTTCGGCACGTAGTATCTTAATGTGGCTGTCATTGTCTGGTGTTCATAGTAATAACCATACGCTGCATAAATTCAGATTACAAAAATTAAGATAATGTGGGAAATGATATAAATTTTAACGATGTGAATCCCTTTTTTCTCTGTTGTCTTTGCCCGCTTTCAATTCTCAACTGATTTAGTCTTCTTCTTCTGAAGGCACGCTAGAGTTTAAGCTTTTCGTTGGTTCACTAAACAAGCAAGCCACTGAAAAAGAAGTTGAGGAGGTATGTCTCATGTCCTATTTTTTGAAGTTGTTACTTATGGCAGATTAAAGGAACATGGAAGAGTTTTAAATTTGGATATTATAGTGTCCCCTGTTACCTGAGTTGATAATTTTAAATGACTCTTTGATAAGTTTTAGTCTTACCAAAGTGTAAGTGGCTGGAAAATTGTGTAAATAATGCAATCGCTTAGACATTCTACTAACTGTGTAATCTCTTCTTCCAAATCATCCAACTGTTTGTTTGTCATAATAGATAAAATTGATAAAGATGTGAACGGCTAACTTCTCAGTTCAAAGTATTTGTTTTAATTTCTCATGTAGTCTTTCGACAAACTGTTTGACTGTTATTGCTTTAACAGATATTTTTACAATTTGGTCGCGTAGAAGATGTCTATCTCATGCGTGATGAATATAGACAGAGTCGTGGTATGTCTTGTAACTTCTACTAGATTCTATAAATATTTTGATGTGTGATGATGTTGAGATGGTCAAACTGTGTTTTTCACTTTGTAGGATGCGGGTTTGTTAAATATTCAAGCAAAGAGACGGCAATGGCAGCTATCGATGGTCTCAATGGAACTTATACCATGAGAGTAAGCTGTGAATCACATAAGTATCTCAGTTTCTCTCATATCACCCTTTGGACCTCTTTTGTTTACTGGCCTCTATCCTTTCCCTAGGGTTGCAATCAACCATTGATTGTTCGATTTGCTGATCCAAAGAGACCTAAACCTGGCGAGTCAAGGTAATGCCTTATGGACTATATTTCAATCGTCATTTACCATCTTTACTTGTTTCACTACCAGCATCTTTATTTTTTTCACTACCAGCATCTAATTCTAATTTCATTTACCATTCTTTGTTCTATCTGAGTTATATTTATGGGGAATCTTTTGGGGCATGGTGGAGAGTTGGGAACCTTGTTCCTTCTCCAGTTATTACTGGAATGTGAAGCATTGCTGTCTATATATCCTTACGTAGTTTCTGTTTCCAGGGACATGACAGCTCCTGTTGGACTTGGTTCAGGGCCTCGTTTTCAAGTTTCAGGACAAAGGTAACTAGCGTGAAATGAGATCATTCATTATGCTCATCAGGTAATTATATATTTTGACTAACCCCGATCTCCTCATCTCTATTTGTAGGCCTACCTCTAACTTTGGTGACTCTAGTGGGGATGTAAGCCACACAAATCCTTGGCGTCCAGCGAATTCACAAAACGTAGGTCCACCTAGTAACACTGGGATCCGTGGTGCCGGAACTGACTTTTCCCCTAGACCAGGTCAAGCAACATTGCCTTCAAATCAGGTGAGAACAGCTTGATGATCATGTATATCATCTTAAATCTACACATTAATAGAAGTAAGCACACATAGTTTGCATGTATTGTGCGAGACAAATAAAAAGAAAGTACTTCATTTACTGCACACATATGAGCTTATGGACTGGTGAAAAGAAGCATGAAGTTCCGACCTTTCAGCTTTTCATATGATGCAACAAACATAATGTGTGTTGCAGTCAAATGATATGGCCTTGATTTGCAGTTTGTCAGTTACTGAGACAATTTTTTATTTTCAATATTTTCTACCTCTGATGTGAGCTTTGTTATATGTGACATTCTATAATTTTAGGGTGGCCTGTTTGGTGGTTATGGTGTTCCTCCCCTTAATCCTCTTCCAGTCTCTGGAGTTTCATCTTCTGCCAAATTGCAACAGGTACTTTTGCTATATTTTTCAATCAAGCAAATCTGAAAATGTTGTGATACTTAACTTGGATTTTCAATTGTTTCTATTCCATAGCAAAATCGGGCAGCTGGCCAGCAAATATCACCATTAAAAAAACCTCTTCACAGTCCACAGGGTCTCCCCCTACGTCCACATTTCCCTGGGGCCCAGGCACCCTTGCAGAATCCTTATACTTATAGCAGCCAGTTGCCTTCCTCTCAGCTGCCGCCACAGCAAAACGTCACTCGTGCAACTGCTCCTCAGACTCCTTTGAACATTAATCTACGGCCAACACATGTGTCTTCTGCAACTGATCAATTTCCCCCTCGTTCCCAGCAGCAACCGCTACAAAGGATGCAACATCCTCCTTCTGAGCTAGCTCAGCTCTTGTCACAGCAAACTCAGAGTCTACAAGCAACACTCCAATCTTCTCAGCAAGCAATATCTCAGCTGCAGCAGCAGGTGCAGTCTATGCAGCAACCAAACCAAAATTTACCACTCTCACAGAATGGCCAAGCTGGTAAACAGCAGGTATGAATATAGTCTCTCAGTTGCGTCTGCCCAGCCGGGTTCTTCAGCAGCTTTTTTTTTTTTTTTTTTTTAACTTGAGATTATTTCCTGATAAGACATCTCAGGTTTTTATCCTTCATGTGTTTTAGCATTCTCCGCTTTTCTAATGTTCCTCACGGCTGCTTCTTTATCAGTGGGCTGGATCTGCAATTCCAACAGTTGTTAGCACCACTGGTTCGACACCAGTTAGCTTTTGTCAAACAGCTGCACCTGCAGTAAGTCAGAGCGTGGTTTCTGTCAAATGTACCTGGACCGAGCATACCTCGCCTGATGGATTTAAATATTATTACAATGGTCTAACGGGTGAAAGCAAGGTGAGAAACGTGGCTCCTCTTTAATATATTTCCTTGTGAGTTTCAGGAGTATTCCTTCTGGTTTGTTGTGCTATTTATAATCCTTGAACATGTATACATGTATATTTTATATTTGAAGTTCTTCAATACGTGCCATAATATGTGTATAATTGACTTTTGCAGTGGGAAAAACCTGAGGAAATGATAGTGTTCGAACGAGAGCAACAGCAACAGCAACAACATCAAGAAAAGCCAACTATACAGCAGCCCCAGACCCAATTACAGCCGTTGCAGCAACAACCACAACAAGTTCACCAGCAATATCAAGGCCAGCAATTACAGCATCCGTTTTATTCTTCACTGGTTGGTTTCGTTTTCATGCTGGTTACATTCAAGTAGTTTTCTCACATGGTCTCTAATTTGCATATTTACTCTTTTCCATTTGGACTTGCAGTATCCAACTCCAGGGTCCAACCATAATGCTCAGGTGTATATCTGTTTAATCTGTTTACTTATTTTTCGTTTCAAGATTTTATTCTTGAGATGCTAATGTTGTGGTAGAAGGAGATTGACCACCTTATGTAAAATTCAATAAGCCATGGTTTTGCCAGCGTTTTGAAATACAGATAACAAATCTCTAACGTGAATATCTGTTTTCCATTTTAAAACGCAGTATCCATCATTGCCAGTTGGTCAAAACAGCCAGGTATATATCTGAACCTGTGGACTTATTTTTCAGGGAACTGATTGATTCTCAGTTACAACATGAACTTCCTCTGATGCGTAGTTTTGGTAACATTTAGAAAGAAGAAAACGCTATGCATATATTCTCTAGTTTAAAATCTTTTTTTTTCTTTTCTGGAAAATGCAGTTTCCTATGCCAGGAATAAGTCAAAATGCTCAGGTATATCTCTTATTATGTATAACAATCTCTCATATCTTCTGATTATCTTTGTATTTAATCGAGTAACATACATGAATTTTGATATTTTAAAAAGAAACATAAGGGATATGACTTTCTTGGTTGGAAATAATTAAGGCAGAGCTTATGTTCTAATCTGTTTGGATTATCTAGGACTATGCTCGGACACATATACCCGTGGTGGGAGCTGCTTCAATGAATGATCTATCAAGAACTCAACAGGTAGTTATGGTTTTTATCAGTGATTCAGAACTTCTCTCTGTCGTCCTTTGGTACTCAGATGTTCTTTGTTGTTAAAACCTTTTTTTCTTATTCTCTTACAATCATATCTCTTTTTTCCAGAGCCGTCAATCTCCCCAAGAACTCATGTGGAAGAATAAAGCATGAGGTTCATATCTTCCCTTTCTCTCATCTCTCTTGTATTTTTTCCGTATCGAAACACATTCCACATGTATTGAGGTTTCTTTAGTTTGAAGTTGCATCTATTTCTCTGTGTTGATCGATACTCTGCAGGTACATGAAACGAGGAGCTAAAATATCTCAGTAACTAGATAGAAATTTCTGGAACTAATTAGACAAGGAGAGGAAAAGCAGCAATGGCAGTGTTCTTAGTCTCTGATTTTTTAAGTTAATTCCTTCAGGTAAAATAGATAGGCGATTCGAAGACCATCTGCATTCTTCTCTAATCAGATATCTTCTTCATTTTCATTTAAAGAGTTACCAAACAATGGCCTGTTGTAACATAGCTAGCGCAAGTCATGTCTCATGTTGTGTTACTAGTAGTAAACTTAGCTGGGAAAACCAAACTTTGATCCAGACTAGGAGTCATATATTATAGAAATAGAAATCTGTGCTTTCATATATCATCACTTGACAAAATCCTACTCTAATTTTTCATTTTCAGAGTTCTATCAATTTGTAGTTACCCGATCTTCATATATGTGTTTGCTCTTCCAATGATTTCGTGAAACCAGAGTCCTATGTAGGTGGACTTCTTTAGTTTTTATATAGATATCAATAAGTCGGGTTTTGGATATAAATGGTTATATCGTTTTATTTTTAGTTAATCATTCTACAGTTCCTCCTAATCTCGCTATTACTACCACCGGTAATCCCTCCCATTTTAACCATAGCGTTCTTAAAATCCTCAAAGAAAACCGACTGATCTGCTGCGTAGGTCTCAACAATCGCCCTTGTCCCTGGGTCTTGAACCGCTAAAGCTTGGTCTGATGGAAGCAATCCCTCACCTGAGAGGAGGTTTACATAGTACTGGTTGTCAAATGTTGATGGGGTCACCAGGTCAAGCTGAGTGATACCGACAGTAGGGCCCACGGTCGAGCACAACTGTTGTAGTGACTCGAGGAACTCAAGGTTGTCTCCATGGTTAGCCGGTTGTCCAGTTTGCAGTGGCTGCAACCGAGCTGTAAACGAACTGCACCTTGCCTTTCCCAATGTATGTCCACCTGATTTCCATTTGGTTAAGTATCAATATCTTGGGTTGATCTTGAGAAAGAGAACGAAAAGTACAAGAGAATGTATACCGGAAAGAGCGACCATGTCGGTTTGTGAAAGGCCAAGATTTTGGAAGGTAGATATGAGAGTTGGTACGGTTGAGTTTGGTGAGGGTAAGCCATTTGTTGCTGCCTGTTTGCTCGCTGTTCTACTGTCTTTTCTTCCTACTTCCACCTCCCAGCTTGGTCCACCCGACTTCAAAAACCCGATTTAAAAGAGTTAACCAAGATGATTTGAATTGAGTTCATCCGGTTTATAAGATGGTGATTAGTAAGGCTGAAGATATAGTTACCACAACGACTGAATCTCTAGCGGCCATGGCAAGAATGTCTGCGCATGAGACGGTTTCTGGACATACAGATTCAAGATCAGACTTTATCGAATCTATTACTTCGAACCCTCGGAGAGAATTTAGATTAGGAGGCGCAGTTTTTTCACCAACCAGTCCTTCCGTGTCGTCCAACAACACCGAAGCATCACATCCCTGCAAAATGCACGAGGTAAGTCAAAAAACACATCTTGTTCTACTTAACCGGTACCAATTTGGATTTATCACGGTTTAACCAGCATAGTTAATACTTTCCCGGTTCAATGGTATATAAAAGACGGGATTAGATAATTGACCAAAACAGTTAAAACGAACTTAAGATGAAATAGACTTGCATTGACAAAACAGTCGTGGAAATGAAGACGGAGAAGAGAAGCAGCCATTCTTGGATCCTGTAACACCGTGGTTTCGACCCACGAGTAGACTATGGACTCTGCTTCCGGACAGCTATTCCGGTACAAACCGAAATCAAGAACCAAACCGAACCCTATACCAAAACTTGAACCGGTTTCTCCACTCCCGTCTTCGCAACTCTCGCTGAAGTTGGTTGGATTGTCGGAGAATGAGAGAATTGGCATTGCAGCGAAAAGCATAAGGAACAAGTTAAAGAGATTCTTCATTGTCGTTATATGATCACTCCACTTTCTTCTGAGTTTTAACATTCAATGGAGTTGGTACTGTATTAGAAAGGCTAGTGTATGTGTGTCCATATTTATAGAAACAATTCAACTACACAAAAAAATAACACGTATATATTGTATATATATGTATGTGTGACTGCATGACTGCATGTGCACTTCAACAACCCAATTACATATTATGTACTCGTCAAATTACATATTATGTACTCGTCAAATTAATCATACGTATGTCACAATAAATGTATCGTACATGATATAATATTTAATATATATATATATATATATATATATATATATATATATATACACGCTTCCAATACGTACCCACTTTCCATAATTTCTATAAAAATCGCTTCCACGTTTCCAAACGCTTCGCTTCCGCGTACCCGATTCTGATTCCATGCAACTTAAGTTATGAATAAAGACACAAATAAATCATGTTGCTACAATTGCTATTTTTTTTTTTTGGTGGTAAAAGGCTACAATTGCTATTTGCTAGTGGTAGTGCTATAGAGATGTGTCGGTATACACTATAGAGTCAGGAGTAGTTAAAAGAGAGACCAATTCAGCAGTTGGAATCTGACATATATATTTTTATTAGAAAAGAAATAATATATGTATACGAATAATTTTCACAATGATATAAGGTGCATGGGGATATCCTATGCATGTGGTTGTTAATGTAAGAAAAAGTACACTAGTCTTGAATGAAGAAAGGGTCAAATTTATTTCGTCTTGTCCTCTTCGTATTTCTTTATTTGTTTTTACCACACATGTTAATAAATTCTTATATGGGCCGGGCCATGGGCTTTGCGCATCTGTGGCGTAAATGCCCAAGAAAGTTCATGAAATTACATCCGATTGCCACTACACAGTCTTTATACTAGAGCTTGACCTCTGTGTCACTCTCTCATGTCCGAGTGAACAAATCCCGCCAAAGATACTGAGAGACTAATTGTGAAATCAAAGAAGTACTCAAAAGCTCGTTATCTAAAGAAAGATTCTGCGAAGATGAGTACTATGAAATTTTGTCGTGAATGGTAAATACGAATCTCTTCGTTTTTTGTTTGGGGTCAAAACGAATCTGTTCTTTGCTCTTTTATACTTATCTTCTGAAATTGAAATACGAGATTGTACCCAGTTCTTCTAAGTCTCTAATTGTCGGAATTTTAGTTTTGGTTGGTTTGCTTATGTTATCTATTCGATTAAAGCTCCAATTTTTCTCTACTTTTGATTTTTTTTTTTTTTTTTTTTTGTTTGTTTCCTGTAATGTTCAGTAATAACATTCTATATCCTAAGGAAGACAAGGAGCAATCAATCCTCCTCTATGCGTGTCGTAATTGTGATCACCAGGTAAACTTTGTTTAATACTATGCTTTCTTTCATAAAATTAGGGTTCCTTAGTGTTAATGACATGATGTTGTGTTGAATTAAAGTTAGGGCTGAAACCAATAGACTTTAGTTGTTCTCACTTGTAGAGATTCTGTTGATATTTGTTTTAAGCTTTGATAAAAATGATGTAATCTCTTATAGGGTTAAGAGTGGAATGTCTAAACTTGAAATTAAACCGAGGAATGAGAATTTAACGAGTTTAGATCCACCATCCAGCTCATTGTCCTTATCTCTCAGACCATGAATCTGAATAGTTAAGATAGTGCTTATCAGTGAAGAGTTCTTTGAGAACTTCTGAACATATACAAGACCTTTTAGAAACTCTCAAAAGTTTTTGCGACTAAGTTGCAAAAACCATTTGAGTTTCAACAATATATATTGGGTGCACAAGCTTTTCTTGTTATGCAACTTGTTACCGTTTCTGTGTTTTTTTGTTTGTAGTGTTTGTGTTATGTTTGTATTTACAATCATCAAGCCTTTGCTAGCTACTGGAAACCACTCTATATGAATCTGCATCTTTAGCTTAATGTCGGACATGCTAACCGAATTAGTTATCAACTTAATGTTAGCTGGATTTACTGTCCTGTTACTATGAATTTGGATAATATGACAATTCATATTCTTTTCGAGCATTTGGCTTTGCAGGAAGCAGCGGATAACAACTGTGTTTACAGAAACGAGGTTCATCACTCTGTAAGTGAACAAACTCAGATCCTATCCGATGTTGCTTCGGATCCAACTCTTCCACGTACCAAGGCAGTGCGGTGTGCCAAGTGTCAACACGGCGAAGCTGTCTTCTTCCAGGTGAATAGTTATCTTAAAGCTTAGTCATCAATCAAGAAGTAAAGAAACATTCTTTAGTTTTTCTCTGATCTAACTTTATGATCAAAAGAGATTTCTTTCTCTTGCTTCTTTATGTGCTTATGACTACTTCTGCACTCTATATCTCGAAATTCGGTTTGATATAGCTCGTGTGTGCCATTGAAATTGCAGGCCACTGCTAGAGGCGAAGAAGGAATGACTCTGTTTTTCGTTTGCTGCAACCCGAACTGTAGTCACCGTTGGAGAGAATAGAATGATAGAAGACTACATTTTTCAAATGTAACGTGTATCTGTGTTCCTCTTTATGAGTTTCATACAATTCAATTTGGAGTCTCCTGTGTAAAAATATGAATACTACGGGACTGTTGTCTGAGCTCTTGAATTTTCAGGGTCTTTAATGATCATTTTGGTTTTTGTTGGGTCTAATTATAAATTTATTAATTTCTGTGGGGCCGATCTGAAAATTCGTCGTTATCAGTTTGAAATTTGAATACGTGGAAACTTGAAATTGTCAGATTAGTAGCTCCTTCTAGTCAGTCCAGCCGCCGGCTGCTCAAACTTTGCAATAACGTGTGGTATATTATAGTAAGTTGATAAATCTAATCTTCTAAATAAAATTACTATAATAATGCTCTGTGTTTACTTCATCTTCATCATCATGTTGATTTATATTATATCAGAATTTCTTACATATAAGTTTTACGTTCAAATGAATGATGGTATATACTACACGATTTGATGATTAGGTTTAGAAAATGAAGTCTCTAAGACCATTTCCAATGTATTTCCCTATTTTTGTTTCTAAAATAGAAAAATTCTATAATAGAGATGAGTTTTACTCCATTGTGAATCTCTATTTTTCTTCTAAAATTTTTAACTCTATTATAAAGGAAAAATATATAGAAAAAAATAGAGATTCTCTATATATATAAAAAAAAATAGGGATCTCTATTTTAGAGGTAAAAATAGATATGGGTTGGAGTGAATTTTACTCTATAATAGAGTGTAGAAAATAAAATAGAAGTGGGTTGGAGATGCTCTAAGATGGTTGAAACTTTTACAGGGCTGCTTTCAAATGTAATATCCACAGTTTAAGTGATAAACATTATCTTAAATTAGAATTTTTTTTCTTTTGTAAATCAATTAGGGAAAATTGCAAATAAAAGAAATATTTGTCCAGTTGCATTCTTTTATTTTTTTTTCCTCCTCAAAAAAAAAAAAAAAAAAAAAAAAAAAAAAAAAAACTGGTGAGATATGCACTACAAAGTCAAATAATTAGTAAACCAACTCATGAGTGGAATTATACTTGATTCAATGACACTGATTATGAGCTTATCTGAATTTCAGAAGTTATAAGTTGTTACACGTAAAACAAATATATCAAATGAGACATGTTTCTCGTCATTTCTAAAACATTAACAAATATTGACATAGACGTAGTCAAATAAATCAAATTTCGTTGTATAATAAAAGAAACAGAAAATAGCAAGGTTGATTTGTCAATGTTAGAAAATATAAGCAATGTCCTAATTTCTCAAGTTGGAAAGTGACATTTACCCATTTTTTTGAAAAGATATTCTCTTTTGCATAAATTGACCATATACTCAAGCTACCGTTATGTACTCAATTACTTGACCCGACTAATTAATCTTATACAATTTGAATTAATAAACAAAGATTGTGGTCACTCAATTCTACAATATAAATCTATACGCTTCCATATAATAAAAAGAAACTTTATGTACGTACCAATGTTAATTTGTATATAAAAGAGCTAAGAACAAACCCAATTAGACAACTAGCAATTGCTAAAACACGTAAGATTAATACATTAAATCTCAAATCGTTCAAGATGTCACAAATGACCCCATTATTTATCCTTATTGCTCTATTCACAACCATCCTCAATCCAACAAGTCTCTCTCTTTAATCCCACATGATTTATTCTCATTTTCAATTATAGATTATAAACTCAAATCATAATTAACCTTAATTATGTTTTATGTTGAACCAGGTGGAGAACCAGTAGGTGTATGCTATGGAATGATGGGGAACAACCTTCCTTCTCAATCAGACACAATTGCTCTCTTTAGACAAAACAACATCCGGCGTGTTAGACTCTACGACCCAAACCAAGCCGCTTTAAACGCTCTTAAAAACACCGGTATCGAAGTCATCATCGGCGTTCCAAACTCCGATCTTCGTTCACTCACTAACCCTTCTTCCGCCAGATCATGGCTCCAAAACAACGTCCTTAACTATTACCCTGCCGTTAGCTTCAAGTACATCGCCGTTGGTAACGAAGTATCTCCATCGAACGGCGGCGATGTTGTGCTCCCTGCCATACGTAATGTTTACGATGCTCTAAGAGGTGCAAATCTTCAAGATCGTATTAAAGTTTCTACCGCCATTGATATGACTTTGATTGGAAACTCTTTCCCTCCTTCCTCCGGAGAGTTTCGAGGTGACGTTAAGTGGTATATCGATCCCATCATCGGGTAATTCTATGCATCAATTCCTTTTACTTCTTTTTCTATGATCATCAAGTCATTTGAACATAATCCAACTAAACCAAAATTTCTTTATACCAAAATTTTATATCCGGCACGTTGACTTGTTACGGAGTAAGGAGAAACTAAAAACCATATATTCATTTTCTACTAGAAAAATAGTTTTTTTTGTTTTTTTTGCAAACCTTATGCAGAATGTTCACCTTGAACTCTAGAACGAGATTTATTGATATAACTTTTTTAAAACTTTTTTTCCCAGGATTAGAAAACCAAACAATTTTTTCTTCTCTAATTTAATGTGTGGTTGATAAAAAAAAAAAAAAACATTCTCAGTACCATAGCTTTTAGGGTGAATTAGCTATTTATTTAACCATAAAATTGTAACTTGTAGCTTGTAAGAAATTAGATAAATATCTATGATTTTTTCATTTGGAAAAAACATTCAATTGGAATTTCTTTTTAACATTCCTCTATATATAATATGTTTATTAGAAACAATTTTCTTGAATAGTTTTTCACCTAAATTTATAAAAGTTCGTGATTGTTTGGTAATAGTGTAACAATAATATGGATACTCTTGTTTTTATGCCGAAAAAATCAAACTATTCCAGCAAACAAAGCAAACAACCAAAATTCATATTATTAATTTGTTTTACTAAAAACATATTTAATTATTTTCTATATATACATATATATTTTTTCCAAGAATAGAACCAAACCTAAAATAAATATGGTTACTTGTGTAAAAAGATTCTCAAAACCGAATGATGTGTTCCTCTGTGGCTAATAAATCAGGTTTCTTACGAGTACGAACTCAGCGTTACTAGCCAACATCTATCCTTACTTCAGCTACGTCGACAATCCACGTGACATATCTCTCTCTTACGCTCTCTTCACTTCTCCTTCTGTCGTCGTCTGGGATGGCTCTCGCGGCTACCAAAACCTCTTCGACGCCTTGCTTGACGTTATTTACTCCGCTGTCGAACGATCAGGTGGAGGATCTCTCCCAGTGGTTGTTTCCGAGAGCGGATGGCCTTCTAATGGTGGGAACGCCGCGAGTTTCGATAACGCTCGAGCGTATTACACAAATCTTGCAGCGCGTGTGAGGGAGAACAGAGGAACACCGAAGAGACCTGGAAGAGGAGTGGAAACGTATTTGTTCGCTATGTTTGATGAGAATCAGAAGAGTCCTGATATTGAGAAGAATTTTGGTTTGTTTTTTCCTAATAAACAACCAAAATTTCCGATCACATTCTCCGCCGCGAGAGAGGGTTCGGCGGTTGAGTGATGATTTTATATGTTGAGGTTTGTGTGAATGTTTAAATAGTACCCGCTCGGGAGAGCTATTCCAATAAATAATTTCAAATAAAGATAAAATTTCTAATATTGATAACAACTCTTACCATATATTTGTTACGTACCCAAAAAAAAAAAAAAAACTCTACCATATTTGAATATAGCAAACAAATAAAAAAAAAATGAAACTACACCTTAGATTCTTTCTATTATCTAGTAAACGAATGGCCTCGTTATTGGACGTACTTGGACACGATTCAACGTTTGATTCTAAGTTTCATGGAATTACTTTCAAATTGACTACTCCTCAAGCCTAATTCACTAGCGAGAGACATTGCTACGAGTGTAACTCGGTATGGGCGCTTTTGATCATATTTCCGCATTGAAGAAGAACGACGTGAAGCTTTTTGATCTTACTTTCGTGATGCAGGTTATTTTATACAAGTTTAAAGTGTGCTGTCGATTGTTTGCTTTGCTATGCTCTGTTTTTGGGTTCTAATTTGCTCACTTTGGAGCTATTTTCATTTGCTCTTTTTGGAGCTGTATTACTTTTGGTTACTTTTTAACTTCAAAAGACCTCTATAGTTTTTAAGTTCCAATCCAGCATATCAACAATTGTAAAAAAAGAAAGAGAAGAGACTTTGCTCTGCTGTTTGAAACATTCTGCAGCCAAGGTTTCTAACCATCAAGTAGTTTCAGACATAAACCAAGATCAAGAAGTTTATTCTTTTCTTGTCTTTAAACGTGTTACTTGATTTATTAGTTGTTTTTTTTATTTCGAATGCGATTTAAATTTGAGAATTTCTATTGAAGTTAAAGTCTATACCAAGTAGCGATTATGCATGCATTTATTTTAACAATCCTAACATCTTGCTCAGACAGAATAAGACAAACAAACAAGATTTTTAGAAGTTTAGAGCTGGATTATTACATGAGTGATATTTCATAAAGAGAGTCACAAGGATAGATAGATAGATAGGAAAATTCCTAATCAAATGTTACATTGATTTTAGATAATCAAACCCTCCCTAGCACAAAAAGCTTGGCAGTATATCTTGTAGCGATCAGTAATCTTCTCCAAAAGCTCAGGATGGCCTCTCACAAAATCATCGTCTGCAAATTCCCATTTTTGTTCAGACTCAACTTTTAAAAATCCCTACGTTTACAAGGAATTAAAACAACATATATCAAACAAGAGCTGTTGTTTATCATTGAATTATTTGAGAGACGACCAAGAATTAAGTGAAAGACTTACATAAAGCTTGAGATACGAGGCATAAACGCCCAGGTTGCCGGGAGATAAGATATTGGGAAGAAGAAACTTTTCAAATCCTTCCAGATCCCAAATTATGAAACTCTTGTTGTCATGTCCCCACGAGATTATTGAATTCGTTGAAGGATGATCCACAACCTCGTATGTCTTCTTCAACAAGTCTAAGGCTTTTCTTGCGATAGAAGAAGAAGGATCCATATCTAATTGACCAAAAGTAAGATTAGATGAGAGAGTTTCCGCAACAATCGAGCAAGAGATTAAGAGAAAACAAACAAAAATGTCAAGCAAGGAGAATCTATATAATAATAAAATGGGGATCAAAATTCCTCAATAAATAGATTAAAGACTCTCTCATCTAATCTAGAAGATAGGGAATCCAGAAGAATCACCTTGCTGGTGGAATAGACTCTGTAATTTCATGCCTGGGAGTGGTTATTTATAATTGTACTAACCGAGTTTTTGTTTCTTTAGTTAATTCTTGATCACAATATTTGATTTTTAATTCTTGCCCCAAAATTAATATGGAAAGTAAGATAACAGCTCATTATTGTTATTATTATTATTATTATTTTTTTTTTTGTCATCCGAAATTAATTAGAACTCAAAAGAGCCATTTCTGAAGAATGTTGTTTACATATGTGATATGAAGCGGTTCTGTACGAACTTTTCGTGCCAGATTATCCGCTTTAACATTAGCACTACGAGAAATTAAAGATAAAGAGAAGGTTGAAAATTCTTCCTTGTCGTTCTGAAATTCCTCCAAATATACTGAAAACGCCGGCCATTCGGTTGGAGAAGACACCATCTTCACCAGATCAGAACAGTCTGTAAAGAACGCTACCTCTTGATTATCTGCACCAATCATACACTTCATCGCCCAGAGAAGGGCCTCGACTTCTGTATATAATGGAGATAGACTTCTACGGAGGTTGGCAGCTCCCATGGTTGGCGGCTCTCCGTTTGATGATGTACAGAACCACCCTGTACCGGAGAACTTGTCACTTTCTTTCCATGATCCATCTACAAAGCAAAGGTATCCAGAATAATTCGAATCAAGTGAAGCATCTCCCACTCGAGATTGAGTTACCAATTCCACATGACCATGATTTCCATTATGAAGCTCGCTTTGGGCTGACTGCCACAATTGTGCTTCTTTTTCTGCTAACCGTAATACCTCTAACGGATCTTTATCAATATTTTCAAAGATTTTTTCATTCCTTGCTTTCCAAATATACCAGATAATCCATGGAAAGGCTGATGAATCAAATTCTGAAGGTATTCTCCAAAATAAATGATCCAAATTCGTAAAAATAGATTATGTTGGGAAATTTCCCATAGCCGTAGGAACCTGGGAAAGCGCCCAAATCTGTCGTGCCGGGTGGCACTGAAAGAGTGTATGATTGATTGTTTCCACTGGTTCGCCACATCTGGCACAACCTGTGTCACAAACAATTCCTCTTTTCCGTAAATTTTCCGTAACTAGTACACAACCCGTTAAGATTTGCCACAAGAAATGACGTATTTTAGGTGGACAATGCACTTGCCAAGAATGTGCTTTTAACGGTCTGATGTCTGGGCCAATCAAAGAGAAAGTGGTCTCCGACTTTTATATCCGTGTGGTATGATATCCCGATTTGACTGTATATTTTCCGGATTTTGTAAAATGCCAACCCAGTGTATCTTCCTTTGTTGGCGCACCCACATGTAGGGCACTTATTAGGGCGACATCTTCTGGATCAAAGATCTCTTTTAAGAGATCAATGTTCCAAAAGTTCGACCGACTATCTATAAGATTGTTAACTTTTAACAATGGATCCACAAGTGAACCATTACTCTTTGCTGGTCTCGGGAATTGAGCTGGAATCCAGGGATCCTCCCAAACTGAGATGGATGTCCCCGATCCGACTCTTTTAATAAGTCTTTTATTAACCAGAGATCTAGCTGAACAGATACTACGCCATCCATATGATGGGGAGTATGATTTTATATTTTCCAAAGGATTGGATTTCCGAAAATACCGCCCTTTAAACACCTTCGCGAAAAGAGAATCTGGAACCGTAATCAAACGCCATAATTGTTTTGCTAATAGGGCTGAATTAAAATCGTCTACATTCCGAAAACCTAACCCCCCTTCCGATATGCTATTGCACAACTTGTTCCAAGCCATCCAGTGCATACCTCTAGAATCCCCATTTGAACTCCACCAAAAATTAGCAACCGCACTAGTAAGTTTAGAAGTGATTGTTTTGGGTAGTCTGAAGCACGACATAACATAAGTTGGTAATGCTGCAGCTACCGATTTAATCATCACTTCTTTCCCACCTTTCGATAAAAATTTTGCCGACCATCCGTTAATTCTTGTTTGCAATCTATCTCTAACAAAAGAGAAATTTTTTGTTTTAGAGCCACCTAAACTCTCCGGCAATCCGAGATAAGAGCCCATACCACCGATATTAGTGATTCCCAAGGTAGCTTTGATTTCATCCTTGATATTCTCATCTACCTTATGTCCAAACTGAATCGATGATTTTAAAAAATTTATCTGCTGTCCCGAGACTGCTTCATACTTCTTTAGAATTCCCAAAATTACCTCACACTGGTCCTTATTTGCTTTGCAAAAGAACAAACTATCATCCGCAAATAACAGATGTGAAACCGAAGGGCTTGCGTTTGCTACCTTGATACCCGTAATTAGTTTTTCCCTTTCTGCTTTCCGAATATTCGCAATTAGTACCTCTGTACAAAGGATGAATAAATAAGGAGAGAGCGGGTCTCCTTGTCGTAATCCCCTTTCTGGTACAATTAGTCCTCTAGGTTGTCCATTAAGGAGTACTCTATATTGGACTGTTGTAATACACCACATTATCCAGTTAATCCATTTCTCACAGAAACCCAATTTTCTTAAAACCTTTTCAATAAAAATCCATTCCACCCTGTCATAAGCCTTACTCATATCAGTTTTAATGGCCATGAATTTTCCTTTACATGACGGGTTAGTTCTCAACCCATGAAACATCTCTTGTGCAATAAGTATATTATCTGAAATCAACCGTCCTTCGACAAAAGCCGATTGTGTTTCCGAAATCAACTTTGGTAAAACCGTTTTAAGTCTTTGACAAAGAATCTTCGATATAATTTTATAACCAACATTGCATAGACTTATAGGTCTTAATTCCGTCATCCGTGTTGGTCTTTCCATTTTTGGAATCAGACAAATGTTAGTCGTATTTAACCGTTTATCGAAATTTCCATCCTCTAAAAAAGAATTAACTAGAAAAAGAAGATCCTTTTTAATTGTAACCCAAGCCTTTTGAAAAAATAAAGCTGTCATACCATCGGATCCTGGCGATTTTTCCGGATGCATCATAAACAGAGCTGTTCTCACCTCACTTTCCGTGGCGGGTGCCGTTAGAAAATTATTAACCTGATCCGTAATCAGACTTTGTACTTCTGCCAAGGACTCCTCAAAAGCCTCGGGCTTAGTCGTAGTAAACAGATCCTTAAAATAAGAAACCGCTATATGTTGAATATCTTTATCTTCTGTACACCAAATCCGGTTTTCATCATGTAACCCCGTAATTCGATTTCTTGCCCGTCTCTGTTTTGTTAGAGCATGAAAGTACTTTGAGTCATTATCCCCTAATTGCATCCAAGAGCACCTACTTTTTTTTATACCAGTACAATTCCTCATCTCGATAAGCTTCTTTCAACCGCAATGTTAATTCTGTAATCTCCTCCCGTGATCTCCTGTCATCACTCTGCGCCACATGTAATTCCGATTTAAGTTCCTCAATTGTTTGCCGCCCATAAGGAGTTAATTCTTTCCTCCATTGCGAAATAGCCCGCCTACAATTAGTCAATTTTTCCACAAATTTTCCTTCTCCTAATTCAGAATCCGAATTCCAACCATTTGAGATTGCCTCTAGTAATCCTTCATTTCCAATCCATCTCTTATCAAACCTAAAACTTCGTTTCCCACGTGGTATCTTATCCAAAAGCGTAGCTACCACCGGTGAATGATCGGAAGCTACCATTGGTAAATACTCAACAAAAGAGTTGCAGAATAATTCATGCCAATCTTCATTCGCTAAAACTCTATCCAATCGGCACCGTATCGGTTTTTTATCCCGCCAACCCCGCCAGGACAACCAGTCTCCGATATATGGAAATTCCAATAAACCGCAATTTTGAATCATTAAATTAAAAGGGATAAACGAAGATGCATGTCTTAGAGTACCACCTCTTTTCTCATGATTTCCGGTTAACTCATTAAAATCACCAATTAAAAACCAGGGTGTGTCTCTAGTCAAACCGATCCGCGTTAAGCGTTCCCAAACTTGATCTCTATTTTTTGGAACCGGGTCACCATAAACGAAAGTAAGATGTATTGTTTTCCCTTTAACCACCGCTTTAACATCAATTAAACGATTACTTTCATAAACAATATAAACATTAAAATTATTATTATAATAAAGAGCTAAACCACTACTACAACCGATAGGATCAACCGTTTTTAAATTTTTATAACCAAAATAACCGATAAATTTTTCCATGAAAAAAGTAGATTGTTTTGTTTCTGAAAGAAATAAAAAATCTGGCCGGTGTTGTTTCTAAATATCCCGAAGATAACCAATAGTTGCCTTATTCCCGAGGCTTCGACAATTCCAGCTTAAAACTTTCATTTATTAAACTTTGGTTTAGGTGGGTTGCGTCCACCCGTTAAAACCTTCACCGTACCATGGTGCATCGGGTTATTCCTGACCATATCTATAACCGATAAATGAATCATATTCATTTTATTCCTCAAACTAACCATAATTACTTCATGATTTAAAAACACTATTCTAGGAGTAAAAGACGTGTTTATAAAATTCCATACCCAAAATACAATATGACTCCACCACATAAACCATATATTGTTAACAAATTTTTGTTTCCACGTCCAATACCAATATAGCAAAATTAAATGAAACCGGTACCATCTGGTCATAGACCCCGAAACAGAAGTTTTATACAAACAAGATAAAAGACCGATCCTTTCATCTATTAATATGACAATAACCCAAATGAAATCGAAAACACATAAGATTTGAGAATTATTGATTCCAACATAATGAGAACAAATAAAAACCTGAAAATCACTTTGAGACAACCGTATGAATCTTGTACTCAAAAACTCCAAATCAAATCCGAGATTAATACCATCTGACAACTCCGTAATCAGCCCAAGATCTACCAAATCAACTCGAAAAACAGAGATCAACCGAATAGAGATCCATTTGGAACCAAAGATTAACCGTAAGGAGACAATCAAATTGAATCCGCTCACCAATCTAAGAAACAACCTTATTAATCCATTCCAAAAACCAGAAAAAACCGAAATCCACCTGCTCATGAAGCCTGAAAATTTCAATACAACATCAATCGTGAAGCCTGAAATTTTCAAGACCACAAATCGCAGCTCCCATTGATCTTTGTTCTCTGCCTCCGTAAGTAATACTCT